GAGACCAACCGCTCCCCAATCAGGGTTGATACGTTCTTGTGAAATACCACAAGAGAACAGTTGGACCATTTCATCGAAGGCAGTGTCTTCCGTGTTTCCAGCTTGCGAACCAGCCGGAAGATGTTGGGATCATCGGACTTGGATATTCAGTCAGTGATGCATGCATTACGGGCGTCCATCATTCGTGACTGGTAAACTCAATGGGCCAACCTGTACTTGTCAAGCTGATCTGCAGAATCCTTCGCCCTCCTCCTCAACCATCGAACGTCCTCCCTAAGCGATCTGAGCTCATCATTCCACCAGGACAAGCCCATTACCTGTGGGCTTCTCCTAGGAATCACGTCCAGAAAACTTCTCATCAAACCCTACCACTCCCCATCCGGGGTGTTATCTGCATGCCCCCATGTCTCATTGATCGAGCTCCAATTAGCCTTCTTCCAGTTAGGTCCCAAACCAACAGCGTTGCTGGGCAGGTCCCAGTCCAACACCGCGATCTGAGACAAATGCTGCAGTCCCGCCTTGTCCAAATAATAGTATCAATGAGGTGCAAACTTGGAGAAGCATAGGTCGATCGTGGTGATACCTCCACATGTCGGTTGGTTACACAGCATCAGGTCGAAGCCCCTTCAGTCTGCCCATGCCCGAACCACATTCCCACGGAACCAAATACGGTGATTGACCTCCCATCCAACTTCCTACGACTGGTGCCTGGTATTAAAGTTACCTATTACCATATCGGAATTGCCAATCTGATTAAGAAAGGCTAGCAGCTGGTGAATTGAGTAGTTAGGATGTAGATACACACTCCCAACCTTCCTCCTCATCCCCTCACCACTCTTATAATACATAGATCTGCAAGTATCCCCATGCAAACCCAACTCAAACATCTCCTGACCCTTCAACAAAGGAAAACAACTCAAATTCGGGCCGGTCATAAGGTAAAAATACATTCTCCACCCTACATGGAGGCTCCAAAAAGAAAAACAAATCGACAAAGGAAAACACATCCATGGCCAACTCACAGTTTTCAACCCCCTTCTCCACATTTAATATGCACGTTGTAAAGCGCATTAAAAGGGGGCAACCGCGGATCCACTAACACCCCTGACTGGACAGCTGAGAGAAGGAAGTGAAATGATACTGATCGAGCTGGTCTCGCTAAGCCTGGCCAACAAGTCAACATTGCCGATCCCAAGTGTACCATGCTCAGGGCCACAGAAACCTGTCTGTGTTTGCTGGCCCTTGCAGGCTCTGTCCTTGGCAGACTTGCCATTACATTTCAAAATTGAAGCCGGCACACCCGTATGAACATACTCCTGGGGGGGGGGACACAGGAGGGAGGGTTGGAGTTTGGACTCCCTTAGGTCCACCTTTATTAGCTTTATCCTTGGCCGCAGTGTGTGCCTTCCTCTCCTCATCTCCCAATATGGGGTCACAGTCAGGCATTGTGCGCTTTCTGTTCTGCCTCTTCCTGCTCAATGGTGTGGCAGCCCTGGATGTGAGGGAGGAGAGTGGGGTACCGGATGCCTTAAGTGATGGGCATCCCGGCCATCCTGTAAGATGGTCTGAGCGGTCACAGAGAAGGCAGAGACGTTGGGTGTGCACGCACGCAACATCAACCACACTATAACAATTCAATTGCCCACAAATGTGGAACTTTGTCAGATGCTCCTGGTGGCACAACCCGTAGCGAGAGGGGAAGCTACAAGTGATCAGAGAGTGCCCCACTTGGAGGCACTTCTTGCACAGCTTGGTGGGAGCGTGTTCATGCTACAGCCTCATGGGCCAGACACCATCACGAAGGAAAATTTTACCAGCCTTGATGACAGCATCCAAGGCCTCATTCCTGTCTACCAAGAAACGAATAGAGCACGCCGTGGCCCCATTCTTCTTATGTGCGAAGATCGACCCCGAAAGGTTCGGTCTCCTGGAAACAACCAAACCAGGGTTGGCACCCTCGATGTCAACTCACAGGCCATTGCAGGCCCCGTCACTAGTCCAGTTCTCCACCTTCCAGCCAGAACCTTGCCCAGAGTCTGAAAGGGGCACACCTGTCACCAAGATCTTAGTCTTGTCCTGGTCCTTCGCAAACTCAAAGTCAGGTAACCCCAAGTCACGCATAACAATGCTGTAGCAGCCGTCCAGCCACCGGGAAACCTGGTCAGCTGTATGGTCAGCCAATGTCAAAAAGATGCATTCCACCTCAGGTCTAAGCCGAGCCTCCCTAATATATGCGTGGCTCCCAGTGATCTTGGTCCTATTGGCCAGAAAAACATTGATCCTAGAGTGGATCATCTCAGTTGTCACACCATCCGGGAGGATGATGCAGTTCCTTGTCCTGAACCTCATCATGAGGTGCTATTTACGCCCATTGGGACGCTGGGATGAGGTGGCTGGAGGAGAAGGCCTTAGCGCGGGTTTGGGGAGTGGGCCACCTTCCGGGCAACCATCTTCTATTGGCCACCAGCTATAGCGGCCGGTGCCTCAGGAATCTGGACAGCCTGGGCAGGCGCTACAACATTGGCTGGGCCAGTTAGCACACTCTTCTTAGCCATCTGGACCAACCGGGGCTTGGAAGCGGCTGGGGGCACAGGAGCATGGGCCTGGAATACTGGGGCATGGAGTGCAGGCACTGGCGTGGGTGTGGGCGGAGCAGGAGCAAGAGCGACGGGGGAGGCTTTTGACAGCTGGGGTTTCAATCGGGTCGACTGCCGGGATGGCCTTCTTTCCACAGTACCAATTGTGCTATTTATGCCCCTGTGAACCACCAGCAATGTCAGCAAATGTCACCTCCTTCTTCTCAGGAGTAGGATCCTGAGGTGTGTTGTCTAGGACATTCTCCATGTGGATGTCCGGCCTCTGCTGGCATATCAGCTGGGCCATATTCTCCCATAGCCAGTTAACCGAGGTTACCAGCATACTCATGTCCTCATGCACCTTGGTGAAGGAGGTGTACGACTCCTGATCCAGCTTCATCTGGACAAACCTGATGGTCGTGGGAATGTCTGTCTCAGGGGACAGCAGGCGAGCATTGTCAGATGAAATATCGTCAAGCACGTTGAGCATCTCCTAGTTGATGGGGCATGGGGTGTCATCGCTTGCCTGGTGGGCAGCATTGTTGTCATCAACCTCGAGGACCTCTTCAAAGGCTTGTCAGATGTGAAGGGGAGGTCTTAACTGTACTTGGGAGACTAACCAACATAGGTGGAGGGGTGCCAGGTTCCAACGGGCAATTACCGTCAGCATCACCACTGTCATAGGCATACTTACTGTCGCCCAACCTAGTCACCTCAGATGTGCAGCCTCCCCCCAACTCCATGTTCTCATCTTTCACTGGGGCCGGCGAGAGAGACACAGAGGGGATTAATGACACAACAGGAGCGGAATCCCCGAAAACAGGATGCATACTACCAATCAGGGAGACGCAAGGGGTCTCAACTGCCAACAACTTGTTGCACTCGGCTATGGGAATGGCCATGCGTGGGGCAAAGTGGGAATCCAGGGACGGACTCCATCCCACCTGACTGACACCCGCAGCGGGGGAACGAGCCATATTCTTTGTTCAGGGAAGCCACCCGCTTCCTGGAAAAGTTAATCTCATTATGGGAGAACCCACCTCCAACTACTGGCATGCATACCATGCTCCCTTCGTCTGCAGTGGGCTGTACAGGGGAGGGTGTACTCACCACCTCTTCACGAATGGCGCCCTTAGATACCGACAAATGCTTAATGGCATCCGGGATAGGTGGGAACTCAAATGGGTCTGACTGTGGAGTATGTGACTCGTCATTCAAGTTGTCGCTCTGGAATGAGAACCAGCCACCAGCATACAATACCCCCTTACTGGAGGGCAATTCCTTCATCCAATGGGGCATCAATGATGATGGTGCAGCCCCCACCAACAAATCATGGGGTGTCAGCGTACCCAATCGCTCCTACAGGATCCCATCATTGGTCCTCCCAAAGGTAGTACCCGCTGTGGCAGCAGAAATTTCAGCTGAAGGAGCTCCCAATTGAGTTTCTGGGACAAATGCAGTCCCCCCCATATTTGCAGAGGAAGGGGCAGAGGACCACCAGTCCACTGAGGTAGTAGCAGAGGACTTGAAGGACAAGCTTCCCCCGGTATGGGGATGGTGTAGGAGCCCAATAGCCCCATCCTGGTCGAGTCCACAAGTAATGAGACATTGAGAAGCACGAAGGAAGCCAGAAACTATGGCCTCAACTTCGGAGTATAGCCTAGGTGCCCGGTCAGACACTACCTGGCGAACTTGTGCATCGAATTCCTCCTGGCAGGCATTGATACACCTGTAAGCATGGCAGAACTGGAGAAATCCCAAGTCCCACCCAGAAACATCCCATGAGCAGTCGGTTACCAGGATCAAACGGTGGCCATTGCGGAGGAGAGGGACAGTAGTAGTCACCATGACCTCAACATCATCTCCAGAGCTGTCGGAGGATGACAATTGTGATATGAGGGGGGGCCAAGATCGGTGGTCCATAAAGGCCCGTCTCCCAGGAGGAAGACCCACCATCACCAACCTGAAGCCTGGGATACTGGGTCAATGCCCCAGCCAGATATCTCCTCAAGTCCAAAGGAGGTCAATAGATGAGCTCAATGGCCCGGAAAGCAGTCCGAAGACCAAGGAAAAACAAGCTCAATAAACAAAGGTCCCGAAATGAAGCCCAAGTCAAGTGCCAGTAAAGCAATTCAATTGGATAAAAGGCGGGGGAACCTATGTGACATGTGACAGAAAAAGTAGTGTCTGGATGTTGTATAACTAGTATGTGATCAGGAAACCTGTACTCAATTAGTAGAATAAGATAACATCATCAGAGAAGTAAGAGTTGTATGAGACAATTCCCCAAATAGTTAGACCTCTCAGCTAGTTCTCCACTATACTTCGTTGGTGGAAAGGTACCTGCCCACACTCACTCCCACAAATGGGGAAACCAATTCTTGGCTGAGACGCACGAGTACTTGTGGTGGACTGTTCTTGTTGGGCAAGGAAATCGCAGTAGAGTCCCACAACAGTGATGTCTTTCCCCTCAGCCTGATCGCACAGGCTATCAATCACTAGGGAGCTGTTATTGCTGCCGGTCAGTGACATCTTGCATCGCCTTTCTCTAGGGAAGAGGTCTTGCTACCTAAGGTACGTTTTCCCCACCCCTGGATTCCCGTAACAGAACAGAGCTGGCTCAACGCAACCATCTTCCATATCACTCCATTTTCTGAAGTCGGTACTTTCTAGTACCCAGTTTCCTACGCCATCGAGTCGGTCGATTTGCACACCTTGGTGTCGTTGGTGTGGTTCTAGTGGCGATAGCCACTGTAGAATTTGACGCCCCTCGGCATTTATTTCTATAATGAAGTTGACAATATTGTTGTGACTATGGTTCGTCAACACGTTGAACGAGTTGATATTACTGGAGAACTGTTGCTGCCCTAACGACATCTGCGCTATAGGCTATTGTCTGAATTCCTTTTTTGAGAGAGAAAGAGAGGGATCGTGTGCAATGAGAACCTGGCTTCGACGGAATCCCAGGGAACTGAGCGGAGAGGTGGCAACCGGTGGGGCTCTGGCGTTGCACAGGTACCGTATCATATGTTCTGGTCTAATCATTCTCGAGCCCACTAGTGGGTTTTGCTTGGCACATCGCCCTGGGTCTCGGAGCGAGAGAAGGTCAATACCGGTAGGAGGGGGACAGGTTACGAGTATTGCCTGGCATCAAGTTTTCGAGCGAAACATACCGTTTATTTGCATTGAAGCCGGTGCTTGTTATTTTCAATGCTGTAAAGTGCGGTTTCTGTTTACAAAACTTTTACAGTAACACGTTTGCAGAATTTTCCGGGTACTTCGTAACTTACCACTGTGAATAGGCAGGAATTTCAATAAAGTTAACGCCCTGCCTTTATGATACCTCCCCAGAGTGCTGGCAGCTTAAGCTTATACATTTTGACCCAAAGTGAACGGCTGGTCGAAATTAGACATTGTTTCCACCATCCCATCAGTTCAAATCAATCATCGGCTTGACCCAGAGCCCAGGCTCAGCTGAACTCAACCGAACAAATCTGTCCGCCCGGAAAAGGTGGTGGATGGGCCCAGACGATGAACTAAGCATTACCAACTCTATTTAGATGGGGAAAGCGGATATCATTCCTCTAACCCTTTACCATTTCTGAGCCTGCCTGGTGTTGTCCATACCTTTTGAGGATCCTCAAAACTGTTGTCAGGTTTGTGAATCCTATTGGGTGTTTTCTAGTAGTAGATCAGCATTTTACGAACTCATCCTAAACCCGGACAAGGTTTGAGGACCCCTACGGCATTTTTTCTAGATAGGCAGATGGACTTGGTTGAGTTCAGCTGAGCCGTTATCAAGATTTGCACCAATCAGCTTTGCCTACCAATTACCATCCTGAGTTCACTGAGATCTCGTCCAAGGTTTGAGTACCCCTAATCTCAATTAGAAGGATGATCCCGGATTCCACATTAGGAGGCTGTTTATGACAAGCAAGACGTCTCAATAACTTAGCGACATCAATGTAAGATCGGTACTCGAAGAGGTTGCTATATTATCTAGTCAAGCGTAGCATAATATCAGCTGAGCAGAAGGTGAGGGAAAGCAGGGGTCTGGAAACTTGGTGGGTTTCCGTCATTCACTTGATCATCTACGATCTGTAGCCCCGCTGTGACGGCCCGCCCCGCCTCCAGGGGGTATGGGAGCTGATTGTACTTGGGGAAGTTGGCTTAGAACTCCTTGGACCAGGTAGTCGCCACCCATGACGATCGGCTTTAAAGTCCAGAGCGATGCGCTGGGTGAGAATGCCCTAAGTTAGGAATACTATAGAGCCCCCGTGTTATGGCCCTACCAGTGCAGGGGTGTCTGCCGGAGTCCCGTTTGCTCTCAGCAAAATGTGATACTTTTTTTAGCTACTAATATTCCGGGTGCGATTGCTCCCTTAAACACATCGAATCTTGTTGATACCAACTAGCGATTGATTCCTATAATTTCTCTTTTCCTAACAATGTATCTCCTACGTAATTTGTCAATTTACAATAACATGAGCCATTATCCTTAAACCCAGATGAAAGGGGTAAAATATTACGTCTATCTACTAGCGGGACAAGTATTGGTTCCCAATGTAATATCACGTGAAAATACCTACAGTAGCTGGCGCAGCGGTTACTATTTCAAGAACCAATTAACCCTGTAAACTTGACAGGAGCCCAGAAGTTCAATTCCTCTCGAACTGAGATATAATTGAACCATTGGACCTCAGTCAGGTAGGGCAGGAAAATTGAGAAAACACTTCCCTAAAGGAACTGGGAGATTGAAGACCTCAGCCTCCCTTAATAGGGCTATAGGGTAAACCAGTATGATACTGCTATGAGGTGATATCATATCATAGAATAGAATAGGACTCTAGATCATGTCCCTATAACAGGGGTAAGGTCCGCGATCAGCGGGGTAGCAGAAGAAGAGAATAAGGGTGGTATCCCTCTCATCATATATCCTGCTCTCAAACTTACTGGATTTTCTCAAAAAGAGGGTCAGGCGGGAATAGTTACCAAAAGTGAAAGTCGTAGAATCTGTTCGGGGCTGTGTTACCATAATTGCAGCGAACCTAAAGCTCGCCCAAAGGGTTCGTTGTTAGAAACGGTGCGCAGGGTTCTCAGCCACCCCTAGGAGAGACAAGTCAACAAGAACACAATTTCCTTTCCAATGAAACCTTTCGGGTCCTCTTCACACACAACATTGCGTACTAACCCACGGAAGTGGATATCATACATGATATTAGTGAACAGCAGTCAGAACCCAACGGACACTGTAGGGGCCGGTCGGTAGGGTACTGTATTATCACAAGAAATCACTCGTTTATGTGCACTATCGCAACCTGTGTGACCGACCCCCGAAAAAACACAGTTGGAGGCAGGAATAAGGGGAATTTAGTTGCAGAAACACCAGCCCTGCCCCTGGTCGAGTCACACGTGAATTCCGGAGCGACATTACGTCTCTTTCCCGATCCGTTCCTAGTGCACAGCCAAACCCGACCAACCAGCTATTCTTAATCGCCAATAATTTCTGTGATAGTTACGATACCCTCCCCACCTCTGAGAATTGGGTTGGCCTCTCCGTTATCTAGAAAACGATGGCGGTTTATTTGTAAACCTAGTTCTTTTTAAAGATATATTTGCGGCTGGTACGGTACTGTCCTCGATCTTGAATGGGGATAGCTGAAAGCATGCAGCACAACTACCGGTAATACCAACCCCGCAACCCGGCAACCCTCCCTCGGCGTATGTGCCGAATACTCAGCCGCCCAACTTACACCTCAGTCATATAGCACAAAAGCCATTGAGATCCTTTTCCCGGCCTCTATAACGACCCAATATTATACACTTTCCTCTCTTCTGGTACTGTAATAGCAATGCTACCGTACTCCCTCCTTTCCCAATTTCTCTAAACCTAAGGATTGGGCGCAGGAAGTAAGTTATCAGCCCATCGGCAACAAAATATTGTTCCGTTTCTTTTTCGTTTATACTTCTTCCTTCTTCATCCTAGTCGTGTCCTTATCCCAGGTAGTAGTTGGCCCCCCACGTCTCTATCTCCCGGGGGAATAGATAGTGCTGGAATCATGTTATAGCTAAATAGAGCCGAGTTGTCAGTGGAGCCATGCAGGAAGTCCTTATATCAGTGTATCTCAATCCGTCTTCCATAGACTAATCGAAGAAATCATCAGCTAACTCCCCACTCTAGAAAGTTGCCCCCCCTCGACGCCAATTTAACAATATCACACGAGTTCTTGATTATCTGGTGAGATGATTTCGGCAACTTCTATCATGCAGCTCGTACCGAGCAACCTGGAGAACTAATACGCGCCATGAACCTACGTTCTGGCCATCTAACCTATCGCCACCCAAGGGTGCAGGAGGAGGGTTCTCAAGGGGCCATGATGTGTGAGCATCACTACTGCTAAAACTGACACAATTTGTCAGTGCCCTTGTATCTGACAATGATTAGTTAGCTGTTTACCTCAGCGAGGCATAGATTCCTCATGATATCCCCTGGACACGGCCTAATGTTCATTTCACCTTCACGCGCTAGTGTTATTATGACCGAGCTTCTCCGGGCACGAAGGCAGGGCTCGGAGAGGAAGCTGGTATCATATTGATATGCACGTATTCTTCCATTCTTCAGGTCGCTTTCCTCATTCTATAATTAGCCACTTAGGCTACTACACAACTCTCGGCCCCTAATTGGCCAGAGAGCAGACATCACTGAAGTGAGACCCAAGTACATACCACAGCTAATTCAGCAATACAAGATCCCGTATTAGTGCATCCCCCCCCCCTCCCCTAGAAACCAGTATGTGTAGAATATTCGACCTAAGCCTCTCCTAAAAACTAGCACTGAAATAAAGATTTCTTGGACACAAAGTCCGGTATCAGATACGGCTTCCATTTACCTATACAGCTCCCAAAAGGACTAACCCTTGTTCGATAATCCAGAACATCTTTTCCTAGACACCAGTATTTGTATTCTTGGTCATACCTGTATCCTTCAGACCAGCTGTCCCCCCGCTCAGATGAGAAAAAGAACCCAGTAGTCACGAGGTGTTAGGGAACTGTGTGTTGCAGTGTGCTCGAGTGATACTGCAGGTAGTCGTTTCAAAGCTACTGCTAAGGAGCTGGCCAAGAAATCGCAAAATGGAAAGCTTCCCTCCGGAGGACGAGCTAGCTGGGCGGGCGGGCCCGTGCGACAGATGGGCTCCCGGTCACTTGAGCTTGGGAGGGGAAAGGGCCAGGAGGTGGTTTCGGTAGAGAGAGAGAGGCCTTCAGAGCGGCGGGTACAAGGGTCCCACTGTACGGCATATGGTACTCTGGAGTAACAGAAATTCCGGTGCATTGTGAGACGGTCCCCCGCATGTAGGCGTTTTTTTTTTTCTATAGGTAGTGGTAGCATTCGAGACACCTCCCTCAAGCCAGTAATGATCAAGAGTCTTTGTGGCGAGTGAACGGGTTTTATGAATGATCACGGCCACACCCCAAAGTCTCAATCGCTAGATAACGGCTAGTCGAAGGAAGTATGATAGGGGAGGCTAAGGGGGTTTGGGGAACATTGTTCCAAATTTTTTTTGTCCAAAAATAAAAAAGAAGCCGAGGATACCATACAGAAAAGAAAAGAAGACAAAACCCATTCGCCCGTCACACAAGATTTGGTGAAGTTGGGACTGTCTGAATTCTTGTCCTCTTTGATTTACCGGTCAATTTAGGTGACGGGGCAAAGTTAGTTCCCCCCCGGAATCCCAAGGGAACATAAATTATTACGTTAACAGAAACTCGGTTCTGTTTATTCCGCGATTTGCCTCCCTCATCAATAACATTACTTCAGGAACTTCACTTTGGCCGTCTTTCGACATGCCGGCTCTCCTTCGCGTATCCAGGGTCCCAAATGGTCCGTCCTTCCAGTCGAGCCCTGATAGCAGAGTCCAACCTCGGTAACAAGAACACCCCCTTACCCCAGACATCAGTAAGTTGACAAAACCTATGAATTTGGGCGGCAGAACAGTAATGCACCTGGGCATGACCGACTATGAATACCGTATTGGCTCGGATCTCTTAAGGATCTCTTAATATGGATAACACACTGTGTCAGCCCAAGGGTACTATCTCGAGTTCATGGAGGGAAGGTGTAACTAAGGTGATTTAGCTGTTCGAGACACACATTCTCACTCGTGTTTTATCTGAGACCCGTCTTTGACCATTACTTCTAGTTCGAGGTTCGGGAGAGTTCCGTAGGGCCTCATATAACCTATCCTCTTAGTCTATCCAGCCAATTAAACCTGCAATTAAACAATTGAGCTATCCACATCTACTGTGCTTTTATTCCACTTGGCTTTCAGCGAAATATCCAGCCACCCGTACAGTACACCTGGGAAAGTTAGGGTACTGTGGCGCTCGGGCTGAGAGACACCGCCCAAAATTGTCACGAACCCTCATCAGTGCAATGACAGAAGGGAAGGGAGCCAGCCCAAACAGGTAAAAACCCCTTTTACCTCACCACCCCAAGTTGTTGTCCCAGATTACCAGTGTTCTCTGTAACCGATGAGGCGGTTGGAAAACGTTTGAATTGTTCTTTATCCCCTGTAGCGGTGAAAGTACTGAATCTCCATCATTCCGATATGTAACATGCCGCCTACTAGCCTGCTTGGGTAGTGGTGATGCCTACGAGTACAGAAGAGCACTTCCCGGTTCCCGACAGTGTAGCTTGAGACGTCCGGGATTTCCAAAATGCGCAAGCCGAAAAAATGACGCCATCAACGAAAGAGAGGGTGATGAATAAAAGAAATCCAGCAGGGTTTCTGAAGCCTTTTTTTTTTTCCGGGCTTTGGTGTAGCCGGTATCCTGCTATCAGGCTAGCCACCATGGTACCCTGTTGCAGCATCAGTTTAACACTAATACCATTAACTGGCGTCTACCAGACGTAGGGGAATTGGGAGCCACCACAACCAAGAGGATGAAATACCGATAGTGGATATTAGTAAAAACTTTATAATGCTTCCAGAGGGATTAATGATTTAAACAACGGTATTCTAGATCAAGAGGCAAACTTTCAAACCCATTACCCAGGACATACATAGGAATACTCGGATGAGGAATTTGACGGATTGGCATGAGTTCATCTTGCTTGAGCTAGGGGGGAGAGATGATTAAGGGCGCAGGTTTTGTCAGTGCTCATACAGGTATGTAACTCATCAGACCAGTTACTCGAATTAGATGTTGTATGCACACACATCCTCCTACTACAGCTATGATACACGCAAGTCCAGACCTACTGATCACTTCCCCTTCCCCTCCTCCCCCCTCTCCATAAGACACCACTTTACCATCCTTCCGATCCCACGATAGCCTTCGCCTGAGAATACACAACACCCCCCTCCCTCCTTCATCTCCCTCACTCCCTTTCTCCACCACCCGATGCAGTTCCTTATACACTAGACCCCTAGCACATCAGCCCCGGACGCAGAATAATGTGATAAACCGCCAAAGCTACCAATCTTTGGTTCTGACGGCCCCCCGCCCCGGATGTTCAGATCCGCTGACTTTTTCAGGGAGTTGTTTTTACCCGCTGCACGTAGCTGCATTATTGGCGGGTTGACATCTCAGGTAGCCCGTCCATTGATATTTTATTTCCCACGGGGTGGGAAGGAAGGAAGGGAGGAAGGGAGGGAGGATAACCGATTGAAGCCCTTTGCCAGGGAGTACCGTAAGTGAGCTGCATATGCAATGTCGATCATCCAGGAATCTTGAGGGGCTTCTTTGAACCGGCCGCTTGCCTGTTGCTGCTCTCTTGCCTTGTGTTTGAGGAATAGTGTGTTGGGTATTCTCCTTCTCGACCTCTCTACTCGTTCTCGATCGTGTCACTTTGTTCTCCTCTCGGGTCCCCTTTTTGTCTCTCGCTGTGGAGCTCGTCAGACCTGCGACCAAGTTACCACCGTCGACAAGATACCGTTGGTTGCACCGAACGCTGTCGGTTGCATGACACGGGGTGCGGATACCATACCGGTATCGCAATGAGCGCGATTCACCAACCGCTTTACAGCGGATCTTCCCTGAGGCAGTTCGTAGGGCATCGATCTCAGCTACATCATCCCTACCGTGGGCGCGGTAATGCTTCAGTATTTCCCTCGGGATAGTGACACAAACACTCGCTCGAATGGGTCAGCGCACTGTCTGCTCACGTGTTTTCCCGTTTCCATTTTCACCCCCACTTGAATGGCCCTGGCTGCAGTTGGAATATATCCTCGTGGTGGTGCCCAAAACACGGCATGTGGAGCAAGAGGGATAGCAATGGAATGGAAATAGATAAATGAAAGACAGTTCAAACGATGCACGATATTATGTGCGCACAAAGTACCCATATCACCCAACATCAGGAACATCAAAGGGATACCTGCATGGTTTCTAGAACAAAAAGATCATCCAGGTTTGTTCTCCCTGCATATGAACCCACCGCACCGTCCGCCACCCCTCCTCAGCCAAGACGCCCGCTGTATGCCTTTCCCAGGTTTACCACAGAATCACCACCGCTCACCCTTTCAGCGGCATTGCGCATGCTGCACGAGGTATGTGCACAAATCGGATGCTTTCCCCCTCCCCTCCCCCAACTGCTCCTGCTCCTCCTCCATCTCTTTGACGGGCCAGCAAGCAAGCAAGACACGAATAAGTAAAAAAAAAAAAAAAAAAGGAACAATGGAAGCAAACTAAACTTCCATGCACTCGCCATCGGCTGGCTCCTAGATGCTGCCGAATCCCCTCGAGCCCGATTAAATATTTTTTTCCTATTGGTGTGGTGGATGGGCCACTGGGCACTCCTCCCACCTCTTTTTCCCGGTTTTGATGGATGGCCTGTGTGCCCCCTCCCTCTCTCTTCTGCCCCACTAGTAATTCCACCGCTTGGTTAGGAAATTCCGGTTTCCTGGTCCGTGTCCACAAGTATTATCAAGGCTATCAGCTTTCTCTCTCCCTTCCCTCTCGCCTTCTCTTTTTTCCCCTGCCTTTCTTCATCTCCATCTGATCTAAAATAAGCACATGGCGCCTTCTGGCTTGGGTTTTGGACGCGTGCGTGCTTCGGATATCTGAATCTCGACCGTTCACAGGGTTGTTCTACTCATCTCTCTCTCTCTCTCTCTCTCTTTCTCTCTCCCCTCGCAACTAAAAGGAGAGGGAGAAGAAAAACACTTGTCCCATCTCCTAGAATATTCTAAAACGTCATCTCTTTCGGTTCCCCTCGTCGTAGAGAAGCTCATTCTTCTTCTCCACACGTACAAGTCAAAAAAGTGAAAGAAAGGAAGAGAAGAGCCGGGGGCATAACAACAATAGAAAGATTCCAGAGTAAGAAGAATTGAAGTTAGTTCATTTCTAGACAAAGGCTAATACGGCTTATGCGTGCAATGCCGACTTGATAATCTCAGTACTCCTTCTGTCGTTTTGGAGAAAAAAGGAAAGAAATTCTCTTTCACCATCTATCTTTCATTTGCTCACCTCCACCTTCACCCTCACTCTCGCTAATCGGGGCGGAGAAGGCCTCGTGGAGTCTGATCCAAGTTCGGTCAGCATTGTGGGACGTCGTTGACCTTACTTTACATACACCCTCCACCTCGAAAGTGAAGGTATAAAGGTGCACGGACACACGGACAGTATAAGAACCTTAGATCACCAGCAGAGACCGGAGGGGAGAAGAAACCAATGAACATCTGAGTAGTCAGGGAGAAGAGGAACAGAAAATACCAAAGATCTGGACCCGTGCACCAAGCATCTTAACAGCGATTCACTTGACGGTTGCTTTTGCTTTTTCTTCTCTCCCCGGGAAACAGTTCACCAAACGAATCCTTCCTTTCCTTCCCTGCTCCCTTCCCTCTTTCCCTCCCTCCCTCCGTCCCTCCCTCCGTCCCTCCCTTCCCTCATCTAATTCAATCGGCAAGAAGGAAAAAATCCAATCGAACCAATAATAAATAACTGCACATAATCCACCTTGTCGAAACATCTCGAATCACCTCGAAACCCACAGCTGGTATATCAAGTTAATCTTTTTCTTTTCCAACCCTTTTCCCATCTTTATTCCATCGATCGCTAAGCTGGGTGGAGAAGCGACAGCGGCTACGAAAACCCTTTCGGTATCCGTTCATTTCTTCGCCTTACGGAGGGGAAGTGATCTCTCGCACGCGAACTTGCTAACTGAGTCGGCCACATACGTTACGTATTATCACATACCGTCACTCGGTCTCGCCGACCCTCGCAAGCAACCACTACCCCGGCGTTTTCCCTCTTCCAAAAAAAAAATAAAGAAAAGAGGAATAAGAGGAAAAGAAGAAAGGAAAGAAAGCAGAATAAAAAACAAAAATAATAGACCCACTTCCCAAAAGGCATGTCTTGGACACCCTCATCCACTAAAAAATCCAAAAAGCTTCTGAAAGCTCACGAATCACCACTTGTCATAAAGGTTGAGCCGGACTTCGAACCACCAACTTCTCTGCTTTTCCCTTCCCCTCCTCTTCCACCGCCGCTACCGTCACCGCAATTGCAGTCGCAGTCGCAGTCGCAGCCAGTGCCCCAGCTAACAAAGTTCTCTCCTCCCGTGTCCCTTCGCCAGGCAAAGCCGGGCCGGATGACACCCAAGGAACGTGTCGTCAGCAAGGGTCCGCTTAAAGAGAAAGTAAATTACCCACCCCATGAGCAGCAGTCGGAGTATAACCGTCAGAGGCTGCTGGAAATGGAGTTGTACCCTTCCGATGGGGTCGGGAGTTATCCGAGGAGTATACCATTCAAGGGGAGCAAAGAAGATTTTCTCCGAAAAACTGGGAGGAATCGTTTTGACGGTGAGATGAACCCCCCTCGTCCTCCTACCCCATGAAAGGGATCGAAAAGAAAACGGGGGGGGACAAGTCAATAATTACCGTTCCGTCGCTAATCCCTATTGGCAGTGTTCGAATATCGCTTCACAGCACCGAACGTGAAGGGTGAGAAAAAATGGTGGTGGGTGATGTGGGATTATTATAACGGCCTCGTCAGAGTGCACGATTTCTTCGACTGCTGTAAGCCCGGGAAGGTGGGTGGTAAAAGCAAAACTTTGATCTATCTAGCTTTTGCCAGAGAGAAGAGAACTTTGGTAAAGAAACACGAAATAACTAACATGTGGACCAATCTTGACAGACTGAACCCGGAAATGCCGTTAGGGAAAAGGTTAATCCAGGACTTGCGTCCGTGTGCCACAACATTACAGGCGGTAATCTTCACGCACAAGGTAGGCAGACAGACACTATCACACTTATGAAGCCCTTAAGTTATCAAACTAACAAGCCCCATCCCTGGGGGGAGGGAGGAGCAACCCAGGCTACTGGATACCATACGAAGCAGCCAAGGCCCTCGCGGCAAAGTTCTGCTACAGGATCCGTTACGCACTAACCATTATATTCGGAGACTCCTTCCCAGAGCAATGCCTTCCTGAGCACCACCCGGAGTTCGGCAAATACCAGATAGATGCCAAAATAATAAGTGCATGCTGTCAGAAATCCGCTGCTCAGCTCTGCATCGAGCAAAGACGCTTGCACGCCGCCATACACCGCCAGCATCAGCATCAACGTCAGCAACAAGTGCCATCACTCACACCCAATGACGCTGCAGTAGGTCCAGGGACATCTTCACTGCGCTTCGCATCTACCTCTTCCACATCTCCCTCCTCTTCCTCTTCTTCAGCAGCAGTAGTAGCAGAACCACGATACCCCACCACTCGAAGACGGAAAAGCATCTCCCCACCACTGACATTACCGCCACCACCCCACTCCTCCTCAAGCAGCCAAATCTACGCCCAATACCGCCTCCGAACACGCACCCGCACTCCTCCTCCTCCCCCACCGCCTCCGCCACCACCTCCTGCCGAATCATCATCACCATCATCTTCTGCAAAAAGGTATTTCGACCCCGTGAGAGAAACTTGGACGGACGGGAATAGTCCGCAGAGGAGGAGGCTTGATAGGGAAAATAGCGGCGTTGCAGACGGAGGACCACAATTACTAGTACCAAATCAAGATGCTGAGCAAGACAGGGATACTAGAGCTTCAACGAACACCCTCTACGAGTACACAAGCAACAATAACAAAAGCGTAGTGAACAAGCAGAACCCGCAACAAGGAGAAAAGGAGAAATGCCTGCCACCAATAACTCCCCTCCTGCACCTCCCGTACCCGCACACTGAAACAAACGCAAACTCCTACTACCGGCCCAGACCACAAGAGCCAGAACCAACCCCCAAGCGCGCAAAGCATTCCCGAGTATCCGCCCCGCCGAGATTCGTCCTGGGAACCTTTTCCCGTGGGCAGCGGGTTTGCCGGAGTGACTCTTTTTCACTATCGCCGCCCTCCTCCTCCGCCTCTCCCGCTGGGAGAGGAGGGGGGGAGACGCAAGAGGAACACGTGCTAGCAGTGGAAGCGGCGGGGAATCTGATGAAGTTGAGGTTGGATGAGTTTAATTCAAACACTGAGGGGAGCGCAGGGGCAGGGGGGAGGAAGAGGAGACAGTCGCGGTGATCTTGGTGACTCCGCTTTCTTCCTTTTCCACTTTGGATCGAGTCGTTCCTGTTAAAACCATGATTTTCCCCTTACTCTACTTTTGCCTCTTGGCTTACTTCTTTTTCATTTCCCACATCATATCACGGCACGGATTGGATTGGAATAGATTAGATATCATACTGTACGGTGGGAATTAACTGGCTGGAGTTTTTTTCCATTTTTAAATTCCTTCTACCTTTTTTCATTTTCTTACCACTTTCCATCTGCTTGTTTGGGTAGCTAGTTTCACGGAATTCACGACATGACGTCATTCAGCGAGATTTTGTAGTCATAGCACAAGTAACTTACGAGTAGAGTACCGTACGAGTACTGTACAGGTACTGTACGAGAACTGTACCGGTAAAGTGGGACAAAATGCTCAATTCAGTATAACTGAGCACCAATTCGGCGGACATTGGACCGTGGCAACGGGCTTCCTCTACCATACACCGGTTTTCATGGCGCCATCCCCAGCGGAGGGGAACGTAGGGTACGAGTACAGTACAGTACGAGAACATTAGCTGACAAATATGGACTTAGGACTTGTTACCGCCGTCCAAAGCGGATTAGAGTGGATGCCCCCCCCCTCTTCCTAACCAACTCGTATGCAAAGAACGATCACATTCGCCAGTGCTTCCGTGATCCGTCCTTCACCGCAAAGTGGATTTCAAATCCAAGATTACATATTGCCGGCAACCCTACCCAACACCAGCCACATAACAACGGCGACAGCGATATATAATTCGCACCTTTCCTCCTCCGTTCGTTCGTTCGTTCCTTCCTCCCTCACCTCACCCCCCACACTGAAATCACAAAGGATCAAAATGTCCATCACGCTCTACGCAAGCCGTATCTGCCCCTGGGCTCACCGCGCATACATAGCATTGGCAGAGCTCGGACTAGACTATACGGAAGTCATCATTGACCTGGAAAAGCCGAGGGAGCCATGGTACCTTGAAATCAACCCCGTTCGTCCTCTCCCCTCCCCTCCCCCATCATACATACCCTTCGGCTATCGCATGCTAACAGCGAACAAAATACTAGAGGGGATTGGTCCCGTCCATTAAATATAACGACCAAATAATCATCGAATCCTCCATCGTCGCCACCTTCCTTGCAGAATTGAAAGAGAACCACTTGGTCCCCTTCCCGGGAACTCCCGAAGGTGCCCATGAAATGGCCATCCCCCCATTGTTGAAATGCTAACGGGGATAGCACAGCGGCTCTAAAGCGGGCGAGGATCAACTTCTTCGTGGACACCTACATTAACAAAGCTCAACCGCTTATTCAATCCGCAATTGCTACAGCCGACATCGCGAAAAAGGCCGAATACGCAAACCAGTTCGTTGAAGTTATCGAGAAGCAGCTGGCGCCATTGCTGGCAGATGCTAAGCCTTTCTTCGGCGGTAACTCCAAGCTCACCCTCGCGGAGGTGCTTACTGCTTCATTCGTCCTCAGATTGTACACATTCGCAAAGTCTGGGGTCGACTTGATCCCCCAGGAGGCGATAGAGAGGATTAGGAAGATTGAGAATTGGCAAAAGTGGGCGGATGCCTTGCATGCTCATGAGAGTGTCGTAGGGATTTATGTGGAGGAGGATGTGGTTCTCGCCACAAAGAGAAGGTATGCAAAATTGGCGGCGGAGCAGAAGTAGGCATGTTAGGATGCTTGGCGTTGTTGGGGGAGTGAAAATTTCAGCGACATAAGGGAGGACTTGTGGTAGAGGACAGCCTCTATATCCCAAAAGGGGACTAGCGAAAGGAAAAGGGAACCGGAGATATTGGGGGATTAGCACCCACATATTCTAGAGGAAAGCCCGGCAATATAACCCGTCTTTGTATACGGCGCACCACCCTCCAATCGGTGTTATAAATTTGGTAGTCTGCCGCCAGGTTACAGGTGACCAAACGGCGTCTGTGAGCAGAGCTGCTATCGATAGCCAGAACGAAGCAGAAACGTGGTAACCAACAGCGGTACGTACGGTACTCGCGGTCTAGCCATCAATAAATCCAACCCCATACCCCTCCCCGCGCTTATTCATTCGTGTGCCGCCCTTCTACTCGTATTTTTGCAGTGCCCTACTCGTACTCGTACCGTACACTAAGCCAATTTGCCGCGCCAACATCACAGCCGCGCCCAATCGATAAGCGACACAACAGAGGATGTGTCAGACGAGTGAGATATTATGATGAGGGGCAGCGGAGCGGTAACTGCCGTGACTGAAATCCCCGACACGTGGCTGCAGGCTCTCACCCATCTCTTGCAGGGGGGTGTAATCTTGGCTTAGTCTACAGGTATCAATACCCCATATAAAATTTCCAATAAGAACCCCCGGCCTCCACTCCCTCCGTTCGCTCAGATCCCCCAAGACGGCAGCATCCCCATACTCCCAAATTTTCCATCCCCACCAATCCGACAATCCCCCATCAAACAAACATGGCATTCCTACACCTACCAAACGAGATCATTCTCCAGATCGCGGGAGAGCTTTCGCCCCCCGACCTTAACGCCCTTTTGAAAGCGAACCGGCGCCTCGCAATCCTCCTCGCTTCCAGTCTCCTGGACAGCGTGTGTCGCAAGCATCACAAATTCTACGGAAAGAGGGCGCTCTATTTCGCGGCGGAGCGCGAAGATAAGGCCACCGTGAGCAGACTCATCGAGAGAGGACTCCTCAACGTTGTGGGGAAGGGCGCGCTCCTCAATAAAGCGGTGTTGGACCAGAGTGAAAGGGTCGTCAGTACCCTCCTAGCTTGCGGCGTCGGCGCGGAGACCAAGAACCTCAAAGGCCGAACGCCCTTATCACTGGCTGCAAGATGCGGCCGCGCTGGGATAGTGCGTCTATTGCTGCGCGAGCCGACTGTTGACGTGAACTCGGCGGACAAGACGAGCGCGACACCGCTATTACTCGCCGCCACCAGGGGCCATGAAGAAGTGGTTCGCCTCTTACTGGCCGACAAGAGAGTCGAAGTGGACACCCAGGATAAGAGCAACGGCACGCCCCTTCACAGAGCGACCTTCTGGGGGGAGGAGGCCGTGGTCAAACTCCTCCTAGAGGACCAACGGTCGGACATAAACCTTCAGAACGTCGGAAACTCCACTCCACTCCACTCGGCTGCCTTCTGGGGCTATAGCCCCGTCATCAGGCTGCTCCTGGCCGACCCACGAATAAACGTGAATCCGACAAATCAGGACGACTGGACACCGCTGCACACGGCGGCGGACCAGGCCTCTGAATGCGCTGTGCAAACCTTGCTGGAAGACACCAGGGTAGCAGTCAACTACAACAGCTCCAGCAGCGGAACTCCACTGCACGTCGCGGCAACCAGGGGCTGCGCGGCCGTGGTCAAGCTCCTTCTGGGCGACCCGAGGGTTCAAGTCAACCTCCGGGATCGCAATGGCGATACCGCACTGCACCTCGCGGCCAACCAGGAGAACGAGCGAGCCATGCTTCTATTGCTCGCTCATAGGGACATCGACGTGAATATTCCCAACAACAGCGGATGCTCAATCAGGGACTTGGGAAGCCTCCTCCCTTCCAAATATTCCCCCAATATTCAGGAGTGGATTCGAGGCCACAACTCCAAGGGGAAAAAAGCGGACATGGAATAATGTCTCGGAAAAGTTGTATTGATAGATTAGGGGCGTTTTGATCTCTTTTTCTCTTTTTCTTTTTTTTTCTTTCTCCATCCTTCATCCTTCCTTCGCAGCGTGTTTTACGAATAGAGAAGAGCAATTAAGAACTTTCTCTTTTTTCTCTTTTTTTCTTTTTTCTTCTCCTTTTCCTTTTTCCCAAATACAGTTCTGTATCTTATCCCGAAAACCATTGGATATTGTAGAACCGGGAATTATGAGACAAATCCCACGATAAGCATCCCCCCCCCCACTCGCGCATTCGAGTCCCAAAACGTACTTAGTCACCGCCGGCAGGCCCCACCCCACCCGACACCCACAACCAATCAAATACCGGTATCGTACTTGTACTACTGCACAAGTACATGTAGACTAGTTACACTAACACCCATCGGGAAACCCAATAAACATCAGAAACAGGGGCACTTTGTCCGATACGATACGGTACATGTCTCGGCAGACAGACGCAAAAGAAGAAAAGAAAAAAAACTTTTGAGACATGGGCGTTGGGTATTCTAGAAGGTTGCATGGAAGAAAAGGGGTCCGAGTCGATCGTCCAACTTTATCACCCGTAACCAATTATATCATACGAGTAAGGAAAGGAAAGGTGAGGTAAGGTAAGGTAAGTTTACTTAACGGTAGAAGCGGAGGAGGAAGGAAAAGAAAGAAAAAAAGAGAAAAAAAAGGGGGAATGGTGGACTCTTGTGGTGCGGGACTTTGGGCATAAGTGTACTCGAGTACTCGAGTACTAGTGTATGATATGAGGAGGATGATACAGTGCCGGTATCGTATTGGCGCGGTGGGAATAAAGGGTGGTTTACGCGGTAAGCGGTGGTATCATATGAGTAGTTATGGTAGATAATTGATACCTTAGCGGCGGAAGCGCCGTTTTTTTATATCTTACGAGTACAAAAATAACGCGCTTAGGGGTTTGTCATGTCACGTCCGATATCTGGACATGTGTCTCTCGGGGATGTCGGGCTTTCCCAATCATCATTATCCGTGTTCGTGCTTGAAGTATTAGTGGTAGGGCTTTGGTTGTGTGTGTGGGATGTGGTGATATGTTCC